TATATATATATATATATTATATATTAATTATAAATATTAATATTAATATTAATAAATTATAATATATGATAAAGTTTATGAAGAAATTGATGTAATTTACTTATATACAGGAGAGAAAAAAAAATTAAAAAAAAAACATATATATATATATACATATGAGAACAAACAAACACACAGATACACACACATAAAGTGAGTGATGTTCAACGTGTTGTCTAGAAGAAAACTTGTTAGTTTTACTAGAAACTACGATGTTTTTTAGGGTCACTGACTGGTAGCTGCCAAAAGTTCAAAATAAAAGGAAATAGACGAGTAAAAGGACGATGCAATAACAGACTTGGTTCGAAGGTTAAGGGCAGAATAGAAAACTTGCATGCTTCCAAACAATAAGCCAGTAATACACGTTTCTCCTATATAATGGTAAATATAAAGTAGAGATAAGGTAGGGAGAAAGAGAGAGAGAGAGAGAGGAAAGAAATAAATTAGTATTGATCGATATATCGTAAAAAGAAGAAAAAAAAAATAAGAGAAAAGTTTGCGGGTGTGTAATGGTAGGTAAAGTTAGATGGTTAAAATCCACCAAAATCCATCGTCTAGTTACGCCTGCATAATATCTTTAAGAAAAACCCTTTTTAGCTGTGAGCACCTTTTTTCCTCGAGATTTATGTGCTCGAAAAGAGAAAGGGAAAGATTAAAAAAAAAAAAGAAAAGAAAAAGAAAAGAAAAATAAGGAATGGACTGAGAGAAGAAACAAGACTGAAAGATAAAGGAAAATAAAAGAGACTGAAAGAAATGAAAACGTTGCGATAAAATGCGAATCGTTCTAGGAAAATAAAAAGAAAAAAAGAAAAAAGAAAAAGAAAAAATTAGAAAAAAAAGAGGTCTTTCGTTTAAACGATTTTACGTTAAAAGAAAAATATACTTAAGATCTTAAAAAGGAAATGATGTAGTCGAGAATTAAGAAAAGTACACGGACATTTGAAAATAAAAAGCATTGACATACATTCTTTTCTTGTTTTTTCTTTTTCTTTCTTTTTTTTTTGAATAATTTAATCAAAAATTTACCCCGAGCTCTTTGCTGCACTTCTCTTTAATACAAATTAATTATTCATGTTTAAGTTAGATATTATTATTATTATTATTATTATCTCTGTTACATATTTCTATTTAACGGGAATTTTTTTTTAATTATTGATTGAAAATAAAATAATGAGAATTTGTAATATTCTTATAAAACACAAGATATATGATCCCATGATTTTAACAAATATATTTCATTCTGAAGTTACAGTTATTAAAAAAAAAAAAAGAAGAATTTGAGAATGCGCCCAAAAAAGAAGGCCATAGGCGGGTAATGGGTTAAAGAAAATTTATATGCAACTTGTTAGAATCTAGTATCTAGTGAGATAATATTACGTTACCTCTATCCTCTATGTTTATAAATTATATTATAAGATTACGGATCTTTCTCGAATATCTCTTTACGATCGTTTCTCTGAGAAACGTATGAAATTCAACCTAATTAGGATTCAACTATCTACGTAATAACGTCTAGTAAAATATTCAAATATCGATTCTCAGTTTGTTTCAATGCTAAATAATGCTTTCTATTATCGTATTTTTATGTTTTTTTCTTTTTATAATTGTATTTTATATAATGAAACTTATAAAATAATAATTAATAAGATAACGTGAACACAGAATCTATGAGAGGGGGAAAAAAAGAATAACTTACGTAAAAAAATAAAATGAAATTCTATAAAAGTATAATTATTGATTTACCTTACACAATAAAATTTAAAAAATAATAATTAATAAAGTAACATGAACAGATTCTATGTAGAAAAAAAAAATAAATTTACATACACAAAATTAAATAAAATTATATAAAAGTATAATTATTGATTTACCCTACACAATA